CAGAACCCTCCCCCTAACGGCTTCAGCAGGTGAAAAGTCTAGCGACACCCCTGCATCCATTGGCATAGATGCCAATGGGCCCTGACTTAAAGCGAATCCTCACAGGAAAAAAAGACAAGTTTGTTGTATTCTAACCCTCCCTCCTCCACATACTTAAAAAGCCAACCCTTTTTTTTTTTGCTCCACCCCGTCCCCCACATCTATTCTCTCCTAGGCAAGAATGACACCAGCCCTGCTCCAGCAACCTCCTCAGATATCTGCGTATCCCAGGGAGCATCGGCTTCCACCCAGTGGCTGGAGGTGAAAGGAGCCAGCAGTGCATCATCAGGGGCCAGGCTGGTTTTTACACCACCTATATCACCCACCTGTGGATTCTCCATATTGCAGAGCATGCCCAATGGATTTGCTCAATGTCACCCTATAGGCCAAGTGCAGGGACACGTCTCCACCTGTGCACTGCTGTTGGTAATCAAGGCCAGATTTCTGCATAAGCCAACGTGCGCCATGACCTAGCGTGGTGGGGTTACCAGGGTTGGCACACAGGAAGCCAAACACTACTAACTTGGCAGCAATACATAGGTAGAAAAGGTTCCACAGCGCTGCAACACAGCACATGCCTTGTCTAGTAGGACAGAAGACCTAATTTTCTACTGCTGCAGTTTTACTTTCACTTACTTGTCTCTTCCCCATCCCCACTATGTGACTGGACAGCGAAAGGGAAAACAGAAGACTGATGAGCTCATCTCTCTGTCGCTCTGGTCTTTCCTCCTATCAGTATATTCTTTATTAGCGCATGAGAACTGCAATACAACCGATAGGCTCCTTGTGGTGATCCTCTTTTTTCCAGTCTGAGCTCTATGTACAGGAACTGCAAGAGGCTGATACCAGGTCAAATTCACCTCTTGTATTTAAAAAAACACAATGATGTATTCATGAACACAAAGTTACATTTATTTGTGTCTTTTATATCTGTCTTGAGCTTAGTGTAGTATGCATAAAGTTCAGCTAGGCTCACTTTTTTATTTTATTGTGTGGTCATTTCTACAAGCAACCACAAATCCACACAGGAATACCAGCAAATATCATCACAAGTCTAAAGAAGACAAGCTACTCATAAACCTGAATGTGCACCAAGGAAAATGCCAAAAGAAGAACATATACATATTCCAGATTTAGTTTTATGCCATAACGCATTTTGGGGGTTTACAGGGTCCCCTTCATCAAAAGTTGGCACTGTTGAGCAAAGAGTGTACTGGATTGGCAATAATGGACCAGGAATGGAGGAATCTTGATGGGTACTTACAGGGTTATTCATAAGCTGCCGGAGGCAGCCGAGTGAATAACCGAGCCGAACAATGTTCGGCTATTCACTACATCTCAGTACAGCTGATTTCAGTCATACATCGTCTGAAATCAGCCATACATCGGCTGCACTTCCGTGAGTCGAAGTGCAGAAGGACTTCGACTCAGCCGATCCAACATCTCGATAGGCTGAGCCAAAGCTCCGGCAGCTCACTCGCTGCCGTTCTCCCATATTCAACATAGGGGCCGAACTGCATTGAGTGAATAGCCGAATGTCACCGAGCGGCATTCGGCTTGGCTATTCTGCTCGGTACCTCCGTGGTACCGAACAGAATAGCAAATAGTGAAAAAAGTTGAAAGAAAAAAAGAAATGTTTAAAAATGTAAATAATACATTTAAAAAAATAAAGATTTTTTTAAAGTGAAATAATTAAGAAAATAATAATAGAGAAAATAATGTAAAAAACAATTGGGTGGAGCTAGCAGTGAGAGCTAGCTCCGCCCAACTGTTTCCTATTGGCCGACACCTGCTAGAGTCTTCTAGCAGGTCGCGGCCAATGAATAACAACTGAGCTGAGCCGGCCACGACAAATCAGCATCCCCAGGTCATTTGGGTCGCTGATCTGTCATTACAACTGGGCAAGGCAAGCCGTGAGATCACAGCTGGCTCCGCCCAGCTGTCATTTGCGAGGCGGCCCGCTTCGGTTGTCACTTCGGCTCAGTCGAGCCGAAGCATATGCGTTCGGCTCGGCCAAGCCGCTCGGCCGCCTTCGGGAGCTATATGGGCGATAGTGAATAGCCTGTACAGCAGCCCTTCGGTTCGACTGAACCGAAGGGCTCCCACAACCGAAGCAAGCCGAAGGATCAGCCGAAGCTGCTGCTGGATCCTTCAGCAGCTTTGTGAATAGACCCCTTAGTCTAATGTTCACTTTAGACTAGCCATTCTTAACCAGGGTTCTGTGGAACCCATGGATTCATTCAGAGATTGCTAGGGCTTCCTTAAGATGTGGATGACTAACCTCCCATTTGTTGGTCCTTGCATAGTTCCAGGGTCAACGCCAGAAGCCAGCTACATGACACCATCTAAGGGTGGCACTCTGAACACCACTGCAAGCGGGCATTCATTCCACTGGCCACCAACGTAAAGGGCATCTTTCCCACTGACCCCAATGATTTGTTTTTAGTAGGGGTTCTTCAAGCCCTAAACATTATTTTAAGGATTCTCCTGGGGTAAAAGCATTCAGAAAGGGCGCTCTATTTCCTGGAACCAGCATGTGGAGCAATCATCAGACTAAGTACCCCTCAGGATCCCTCCAATGTTATCAGTACAACACACTTCGTTCAACAGTACCGAGCCCTGATGAGGGGGGACCTTCAAGCCCACAAAACACATATTTTTTAGAAAAATGTTTACATAAGAGTGTGAATAAAACTAAATCTGGACTTTATACGTACTGCTTTGGCCACTTTCCTTCCTTTGCCACACCCAATTCCTACCCAAGCAAAGAGCCAACCTTCGGCCACCACTCCTGTGAGCTGAGGAGAATCATCCCCTCTATACTGCATAGGACCTGTTTGATAACATTCTTCTAATTTGATAATAAATCTTTATGTGAAGAACAGCATTTTGTTTACAACATTCCGATCTCATTGAAGGTGTGCTTCTCGCAGCCAGTAATACAAAGTATATGCCTGCCATAAATCCTTTGTAAAGGTTACAGCACCCAACATGGTAGTGAAGTGATATTACTATGTAAACAATAGGTGGAGTAAAATGGACAATCATACCATATACCTCAGACAGTCACGTCTGCTGCTCTGGGTGTCAAGTTAAAACCTGAAGCCAAAGGGATAAAATAATTGAAAAGGGCCAATGAGGTATTAAAGGATCGAACCAATAGGCTGAACTTAATTCTGCTCAATATTGATTTGATCATTTTATTTACAGCAGTAAATTATATGGTTTTGGTTAGGGATGTCCCGATACCGATGCTAGCATCGGTATCGGGCCCGATACAGGGCATTTTCACGAGTAATTGTACTCGTGAAAATGCCCCAGTACTAAAGGCCGATAGCGGAGGGGGCGTGGCCGGATGCTGGGATGAGTGCGCGTGCAGCCTTAACCTCCCTCTGCCCGCACTCCACATGGCCGCCTCGGACTCCCGCTCGTCTCGACTTGCAGATCCGTTCCTGGACTCCTTGGTTGAGTATCCAGCTGTGGGCTGATGGAGCTTGCTCACCAAGCCGCTCAACTGACAGCCACTCCAGATCTCTGCCGTCCAGCTACAGGTGAGCCTATGCACTACAGCCCACACACACTACCGCCGGGCGCGCAAGGATGCTGCATAAGCCGGGAAGCTTCCCTGTCTGTCACAGCACCTTTGCACCGCAGCAGGTCTCCCAGCACTGTGACAATTACTTCTGCTGCCATCCTATTCAACAGCCACCATTAGAGCCTCCCCTGGCTGTTCTTTCTTCTTCAGCCCCCAGATCTTAACAAGCTTCTAGATCGCAGGACCCTAGTGTGCAGCCCTGGTGAGACCCAAATGCATTCCATATGAGACCACACACAGCCATGTATATTTGCTGTATAATCATGGAGTGATGGGATCTGTAGTCCTCTATTGCGTGTTGCTGTATAATCATGGATTGAGTTACAATTCTTAAAAATTATAAAGAAACTGCCCTATAATCATCAGTCTGTATTGTTTTAGAGTAAAAGGTCACATGTCCCTTTAAGAAAAAGTATCTGTAATTGGTATCGCAAGTACCTGAGGGGCAGTACTTGGTCTTGAAAAAGTGGTATCGGGACATCCCTAGTTTTGGTAAAGTCTCCATTAGCATGCCACCGTAAATTGTTTGTCCCCTTTATATAATTGTCCCCACATACCTTAAATTTACAACTTTATTAGTAGGCCAGAGGCAGGAGCCGGGAGGTGGAACAGGCTGCAGGAGAGGACGGAAGAAGATACTCTTCTGTCCTCCTGTAATGTTTGGGGCGCGGAACATGATATTAGGCACCAGAGGTCCTAGCAACTATTGACTGACACCTGACTTCTGACCTCTTCACCAATCTCTGATTTAACACCAGTTACCTTCTGGGTTGACTGATGACTGGTGACATCCAACCCACTTCCTGTGAGCTCAGGTCTGGGCTCACAGTATTTCTGGCAAGAGCAATGGCCAAAAAATGTATATAATTTTTTGGTGGGACAAACCAGATTTTTATGTAATATGATCTTCCAAGCATTATTTTATTGACGATATATTCCAAGACCTAAAAAAGGTTAAAAAAAAAATTCCCTTGTTTTCCAGTTTGACGAGAGATCGTTTTAAAACAGATAGTGCTACATTCCATAAAAAGTTTTATTCTGCATCACACACAGATAGGACCATTATTCTCTCTTTGAACATTTCGGTTTGTCTAGTTATAGTATCTGGACTCTGGCCATCACGTGACTACTTGGCTCTAAAGTTTATTACGGTAAGCAATAATTGCCTTGTTGCTATGATATCTATTTTATTGCATGCTCTTTGAAAGGGCTGAAAAGAACGTGCCTCTCGTACCAAGCTATAATACCAGTGTGCAGCTGTAAGATCTAGGTGTGTCTCTAAAAGTATAAAGAGTACTGCAGTCCAAGCTTTAAGCCAACTTTTGGAAAGCTTTATATTGGCGCATATTGAAGATTGAGCAAGAACATGGAGCGTAGAGATTCTACCAAACGGAAGGAGGAGGGAATTTTGTGCACTTACTGTGTCCAGACACCTGTGGCTGCCACTAAAACATGTATTCATTGTGAAGCCTCGATGTGTGAAGAACATCTCAAGACACACAGCAAGTCTGCAGAGCATGTCATGGTGGAGCCCACCACTTCCATTAAGGACATGAAATGTCCCATTCACGATAAGATGATCGAGTTCTGCTGCACCAAGGACGGGGCTTGCATTTGCGTGTCATGCTGCATTATTGGAGATCATCGAGGACACAAAGTGGATCCGCTAAAGGATGCCTTGGAAAAGAGAAAGGCGAGTCTGAAGGACATCTTAGATAACTTGACTTTGGAGGGTGAGGAGAATGAGCACAAGCTTGAAAAGCTGCTGAAGAACCGTGGAAGTGTCCAAGAAGCTGCTTCTGGGGTCAATGAAAGAGTGACAGCTCTCTTTAGAGATATCAAGGAGCAACTTGAAGCTCTGCAAACAAGAGCCACCAGCGAGGTCTCCAGACAAGAGCAGCAGGCAACGTTCAGAATGAACGACTTAATCCAGCAACATGAAACAAAGAAGGATGAGCTCCACAAAAAAATAGAGAGCATCAAGGAGCTACACAGTGTGACAGACCCATTAACTGTGCTCAGAGGAACTCCTCATGAAGGAATCAAACGCATGAGTTCTCGAAAGGTCAGCGACAGCGAAGCCAACCTAGCTGCAAGTATAGATGAGAACCCAATTTCTCTTATATTACATATGGGCCTGCAAAGCTTTGCTGGAAGTGTGCTGGAGCTTAAGACCATACGCCAGTTTTCCAGTTTGAAGAAGACCGACCTCTCGTTGGACATAAATACAGCTCACAGCAAAATAATTCTATCTGGTGATCTTAAATCGGCTTCTTACTCTGCCGCCTCTCAGAAGTACCCCGAGACGCCAGAGAGATTTAAATCCTGCCAGGTCTTAAGCACCAACATATTTACATCCGGACAGCATTACTGGGAAGTGGACGTGAGTCAGGCCTCAAGATGGATCCTTGGCGTAGCCTGTAACAGCATCGAGAGGAAAATCCCTGGCAACGAGTCTTTCATCGGATACAACAATAAATCCTGGACCATGTTTTATCAAAAGTTCCTAGGAGTATCCCACAACAACGTCCAGAGCACAATTTCTACTGACACCGCAGTGAAATCTGTTGGAATACACCTAGACTATGATAGTGGCTACATATCCTTTTATCAGGTGAACCCAACCAGACATCTACATACTTACACCACCTGCTTCACCAAGCCCCTCCATGCTGCTTTCTACATTTTCGAAAACTGCTCCCTCCAAATTATGGACTAAATGAAACCTGGCAGCATTCGAAGGCTTTGCTTTATTAAAATACGACTGCCATTTCCTTTATTTAATTTACGTGATTCATTTTGTAAGTAGTTTATATAATTTGACTTCTTTCCATATACTCGTTTTGGGCGTTAGAAGTATATCTCGTGAAATAGTTAAAATCTTAACTTCTAAAAATGTTCTGTTGAAGGTAGATGGCTGTATATTCACCTCCATGGCAATGAGTAAAATATGAACATTCATGCTGGGGCTTAAAGTGACACTAAACTCAGGAGTTAAATCTTAATACATCCAAGTATCTTAACTATGAACAATGTATCTTATTTGTGTATCACTCGGCTGTAGATCCTCCAATCATCTCTGAATTGGTGCCGACACTGTCCTTCCTTCTGGAGGGGGGCTACTTTTGTTCCCCATGGTCCCTGTGTGTGTTAATAAAGTAGTCAGCCCTCCAAGCTCGCTCCCGGGATGGATTACAATCTCATGTTTAGTTATGTAATTTGTATTGAGATTGTAGTCCATCCCAGGAGCGGACACTACTTTACAACACACACAGGGACCATGGGGAACAAAAGTAGCCCCCCTCCAGAAGAAAGGACAGTGTCGGCACCAATTCAGAGATTATTTGAGCCATTTTCATTTCTCCGAGTCCCCCATGTACTTCCATTTACTTCGTGTACTAACTGGGATTTATAAAGCGCTATTTAGTTTTATTCCCTGTTGATCCTGCCAGTAGCTCCATTATTTTTCACTTCCTTTAACAAGCCAAGCTGTTCAGCACAAGTTGTAATCATACACACTGAGCAATCAGCTTTTATTCCGATGGATTTAAGCTTTTTTTCCCCAAAACAAAAAAACAGTTTTTGCAACTGCTTGAAGAGTTATCTGGAGTTAAGCATTAGTTTGTCTCCTAAACGCCATTTAAAAAAAAAACAGACATGTCCATCTAAGATTACACTGTACACAGGGTAATAACACTGCCGGGCAATTTCACTTTGGAAGTGTTGTCACCCTATCACAGGAAGAGGGAAAAATAACAGCCCTATAGGCAGAATCAACAATAAAAGTATGCTACAGAAGAGTAAACACTGTTGTAATAATGTTAATGATAGACTGCATTGTAGGTTATTTTTTATTTTGGCCAGAGTTACACTTTAAAGCTGTGAATCAAGCTTGAAGTTTCCAGTTATATATTTTTTTTCAATTTGTGACTAACATGTATCAAGTGGGGCCCTAGTTTCCAATTAGAAATGTCTTTATAGGAGCTCACTGGCATATACTGATGTGACTGATGTACTTATATTTTTTCAAGATTTAGTGAGGTGCTAATGTAACCATGTAGTGAATGTTTTTAAAAGTAACTCCCGTTAGCCATCTACACTTGAGAAATAAGAGATAGATAAATAAGAGATCTCTTATTTATCTATCTCAGGGCTCAAGAGTACTAAGGCAGGGTGCCGTGACGGTTTTTAGGAACCCATGCACAGCTCCTCCCACTAGCCATGATCTGACTTTTAGAACCATGACATCACTGACTCCAACATAAGAAAAAAAAAAGTTTCTTTAAATGGAAGTGAAAACTAGGATGTGCAAAATATAAGCAGCTTAAACTTCAGCTCTAATTACTTAAATTGTGAGGATTGCATCACAGGCAGATATTTTATAAATGGGTTGTAATGTTATGTCATGATTTTTTTTTCCAATCATGTAATTGTGTTGGCACATGCAGGTCCAGTTTATGGCTCTCTTATACTAATAAACTGACAATTGTTCCGATAACGAGCTCTCATTTCTCTTGACTTGTAAAAGGTTGGTGTAGTTTGCAAATCTTGGGTCAGGGCCAAAAGGGCTTTGGGCTGTGTCAAGGAGCTTGCTATGACAAATTGGAGATGCTTCTGAGCTCATTCAGAATCAGTTGTCTTCCTCCTGACCTGCATTAGACTTCCAATATGTTACTGATAATGAATAGGATGTGTGGTTGGCTGTGTGCACCTCCTGGCAGACCTGCCACCCTATGGCTTATGTGGGAATCTTGTCACCTTAGCTGCGCACAGAAAGTAGGTCCACCGGAATCCTTGATAAGCCCCCTTGCTTCATATAACCAACTATAAGCATTAGAAAGTGGAGCCAACTTGACCCTCATATCCAGATGTTGGGGCATTGAAGTGTATACAACTATAACCAGGCACACGCCACACAGGCCAATCCTTCATTCAAGGCAGGCCCAGTTCTGGGCATTGAACTTTCAGTTAATAACTGGTCTGCTATGGTCGCTAATCTCATAGCAAAAACTACACCTCCAAGTGTCATGTACATTGTGATTTATAAACTTACAATAAGGATACTAATGCTCTGGGGGAATTAGCTGTATGGGTGTTACTACTCATTGCCTCAAGTCCAAATGCTCTGTAAAGGGCAATGTGATGTTCTGCAAGTGTTCACCGTCAGTATAGCAAACTTTTCTAAAATAGAAACTACCCCAGCAGAATGTCAGTGTGACGGACCCCCGTACTCAGGATTAGTATGTCCGCCGCCATCTTCTTCCTTGCTGAGGCGATATTGGAACCCGCTGATCTGTAGCTCCCAGTTTCCCCAGTCACTGGTCGGGACTCAGTGTAGGGTAAACAAACTCTGCTTTGAGCAACTGCACAAACTTTTATACAGCAAGTGATGAAATCAGAATATAATCCCATCACATCCCCCCTCCCAGACAATCAGTCTGCTCAACACCACAGGTGTCCACATGCTAACGAACTCCAGACAGCCATAGCAGAAGCCTGGCCAGAATGTCATTGTTCTGAGCTCCTTCAGAGAACAATGGGAGATAAACGAGGGATGGTGCTGATAGTCTTTCCATAACCAGGTCACACAGCATAACGCACTCAAAACATAACTCAACACCAATACACATAAAACCGATAAACTGATCACCGTGTCATCAGGTTTTGGGGTGCTCTGTACTAATTATGAAGCCAATACTGCCATATGGGGTAATCTCCACCCGGCCGTAGTATTGCTCTGGTGAAATGTCAGCTAGAGGTGGAGGGGTACGATGGTAGGCAAGCTTTAAAATCATGCCACTGACCAATATGGGGTGGCGTAGGAGTTTAAAAGCGCTACCACTGACTTCCACTGAAGACTGTTACTAGTGCTGCCACTGAGCCACCAATGTGGGGCTATTACTACTGTCACTAAAGAGGCTGCCTGTCCATCATCAAATTGCTGTTTAGACAAATCACAAGCAATTTTGACAGACTGCCAGAAAAGTCAGCCTAAAAGAGTTTCTGCTGTGTTAGAAGCCCAGCTTTATGATTTGCTGGAAAGCCAGCTCCATGATCCCTGGTGATGGTGCCGGTTTCCTCGTGAAATCAGGAAGCCCAGCTTTCTGATACCAGAAGTTCCGGTATCGGGATAAACCGCAAGAGCATTTGGACAAGTACTCCGTACCAGCACCAATACTAGTATTGGTGCATCCCTAGGTTCCATCTCCAAGATGACACGTTTTCCCCATTGTCATGTCTTTCCAACCAAGCCTCCTCAAAAAATAGAGTTTAGAAGAGTACAAATGACCTACACAAAGCAATATTTAGAAAAGTATATATTTATTTAAATTTTGACAGTATGCATTGCGGGTCTTGGTCTTCTGTGACACTTCCAGATGCCCAGAATGGTAACCACCACCAACAAGATGCCTCCTCCAACAGCTGCTCCTCTCAACCACAGCAAGAGATCGAACTTTGCATTGGCGTCATCTAGAGAGATACAACATCAGCTTAATCACATTTAGTATGTTCTATTAATTGGTTTGCAGGATGTAGTTAGCTAGGTCCACCAAAACTCCACAGCAAGTGGTATTTTAACACCAAGTGTTGAACTGGAAAGGTACATCTAAAATCAGTTTACCGTAATGCAATTTAGGTTGACCAAAGGAAGAGTTGAAATTTAGAGTTCCCTGCTATTTTTCCGGACAAAACTGAAACAGCCCTTCGCACATTACAGTTTTTTTTTTACAGACCAATTGATTGCATGTCCATGTGAAGTTACTTGTATTCTTAAATACTTCTGTAGTCAATTTTTTTTTTTTGATATACCGAGTTTGTCCTAGCTGTTTTGTTACATGGCTCCGAGGTCCCACATGCTGTGTCTATTTCTATCTATTGGTGGGAGGTCGCCAGGCTGGATCCTTTATTGGGATTGATCTGCGCGTTTGTTTGCGGCAACTATGCGCACGCTTTGCCGCGAGTATCCGCGCCCGTGATCCACCAGCCTGACGCAGCCATTGACGTCATGACGCAGTGCGGACAGGCACCAAAAGGAGGTAGTTTGATTTCAATGTAACATTGTATCATGTCAATGACATTTTAATTGTAACCAAGTCTTTATGTATGTATTAAATATACGTTTATACAAAACCATGTATGTTTGATGGACATCTTGTATGGTTTGGACACTTTTAAAGCCCCGCTTTTCTTTTCTTGTATACATTACAGTCATGCCACTAGGCGACTTCCTGTTTGATGGTTGCATAGTACAATCGTCTTGTTCACTCAGGGCCATCTTTAATTTTGATTGGACCCTGGGCAAACATTTTCTTGGTTGTGCACCCCCACGCCACACAATGTCCCCTACCCGCCATGCAATTTTGCGCAACGTCCTCCTCCTGCAGAGCAGGGAGACATGACCCTGCATGAGACGCCACATGGAGCACAGCTTGCCGATCGATATGTAAACAGAATGGTGTCATGTGCATCTTTTGTGGGCTCTGGGGCAGCTTATTTGGGCCCCACAACAGTGACCGGGCCTGGGGCAACTGTCCCTTTGCTTCATGTTAAAGATGGCCCTGTGTTCACTACATTGTTATGATGCAATTTTCTTCCCATCTCAGCAAGGTGTCTCCAACATTTGGCTGCCAATGAGACATCTGCAGCAGCAATCAACATTTAGCTACATGTTGTAATAATGCATGCCTTGATGGCACCAACCTTAGACTATTGTCTGCCACCACAAGAAAGGTGCTACAATTGGGATAACTGTAGCTACACTTTTATACATAGACAATTTGAAGATCTGCAATGTTTTAGGGTTCTTTGCGTTACCTTTTACTCTTCTGGGCATTAGTTTGTCAGCATCAAACAAGTCCCTGTCAATTGGTCCTTCTTTGGCACCTACGAAACTGTCATCTGTCTCATTCAGCATATCCAGATCCCAAAATTCTGTAGAAATAGTTCAGGCAATATCACCTTGTTATGGCGTACAAAACCAAATGGAGTCAGTTTCCTTAAATTGGTTACATGTAATGAAAGCCAACATCATGCACGAGTCAGATAAACAATTTGTCCACATACTTTGTAATTGTATGCCCTACCTTGAGGATTCATAGGCATTTCCATCTCAAGCATGTTTTCCATCTCAACAGACATGTTATCCTGAACATTTGGGTATTTTTCAATTGTGATGAAGTTCACAGGACCTTTTGATACAGTGAACTGCTCCAATGTAGCCTTCGCAGCTCGCTCTGGGGAAAAAATAAAAAAAAATGAAGTCACAATTGTTAGCTGCGAGGATTTTAGCATGTCCCCAATGGCACAAGGCCTACACTTACTCTGCCGTGTGCTGCATGATGATGCGCAAGGGTTACCAGCAGATGGGATGCACACAGATGCACTGCAGTGGAAGTAAACCTATAAGGCAGATTAAAGGATGCAATGATTAATGTGCAATCTTGAGTAGAAGCATTTGAGACCTTAGAGGTTGTCACTTCATTCTTCAAAATGCCAGTTACCTAGCAGTCAGACATTTTATATATTAAAAAAAAAAAATCCTTCAACAGAACCCTGTGCCCAGTTATCCATACCACACTAGATATGCATGCTTCATCCAGGTCAGAAGACTAACCCTCGGCTGTACCGACTTTGTTGTGTATTGGTATCTTCAGCATGGGGTGAACAGCAGCTCCAGGCATTTCAGAAAGGCTTGCTTTAATGCCCTTTGCACTGCCTTGCTGCAAGAGCCAGCTTTATATTATGTTTACAGTAAATGTAAAGCTAAAAACTTTGACAGTAGAATTGATGGTTTGGAAGGGAGAAAAAAAAATTAAAAGTGGAGAGCTCACAACCATGTAAAAGAAAGAATTTCCAGCCACATGCTCATTCCAGGCCACCTAACCAGGAATGGATGAGGTCACCAGCATTCAAAATCCAGAGATGACAGGAAGCCCGTTGGTAAATCAGACTGTCACATGCACCAAAGCCAATGTTTCAGGGCCACCCAAGGTCCCTTCCTCAGAGCAACATAGTTACCATGTCACCCAGAGTAAGGGACCCTGCATGGCCCCAAAACCTTGGCTTTGTTTGACCCATGTGACAATTTATGAACATGTTTCCTGACATCTTAGGAATGGATGAGGAAGTCACCAGCTCTCCACCCAGGGTATGCATGGCAGCATCCATGTTATAACTGATCACAGCATCAACTGTATGGTCTATAAACACTGTAGGGAGGGCAGATTATACACAACACTGCAAGTCCAGCTAACCAGACAAGAAACCACAACCATGGCAATATAGAGACACAGATCAGCAACCTCCTGTATACCAGTTTTGAAAGCACATGTAGGTTGACTTACCTTTTCACCAAAAGCTGTGTAGGTTTGCTGCTCAACAAAAATAAAGGCGCTGACAACGAAGCGCTTGTAATGATTTGGGAAATCAATATCTGTTCCAACAGGAGACAACTGAGTAAGGTAATTTATATCTTCATCTGCAGAAGGGCAGCTGTAATGAGAGATTTACTGTAGGCACCTTCTGATTGGCATCCCATTTTTAGCTCTACACAGACATTTTATTCTGACCTTACCCATCAACAAGAATAGACCACTGCATTTGTTGGGTGGGGTCTGAGGATGGTGTGGCCCAGCAGTCATTTAAGATCAAAACCAAGCTTGGGTCTTTTCTCCTTAGTATTCTGACCTCTAAGAAAACCAGATCTCGGAGGCCTTTGATTAGAGGATAGTCTGTATCCCGGTAATACGAGCTGTACTGTGGATCTGCAAGAGACTCAGATTTAGAGCAGGTTTTTTGAAACCAAGTGCAGGTTTTGTTTCTCTTTCCCCAAGAATAGTTGTGAATAACGTACAAAAAGTGTACATTAATTTAAAATTGCTAGAACAGAAACCATTAGTCAGGTTTAAGTTTTGGCACAGCACTACAGCCTATTAGAAGGCTTTGACTTCCCTGCAGAATGTGCTCATTTACTTGCCCTTCATTCAGCTTATTAGACCTTTCAGCCCTCTCTCAATGTCATTTTTCTTTGGTCTACCTGTAACTCTTCTGCTTCAACAACTACTCACTCCCTCTACAAGCCCTATCCATGAAGATTTACATATTAGTGAAAATGTTCTTGCTTATAATGTTAACATTTGTTCTAATCCACCATAGTCTGTTCTCACTATAAAGAACATCAAAACTCATCCATTTCCATACTTAGTGACATTAAACCCTCAGATTTTTTAACATAAAATACTGTAATGTGTGCCTTACTGTAATCCATGGTTGTTTCCCTTCTTTGCTGCTCTTCCTTTTAAATCTATTTGTTCATGCTTGGAGAGAACTTCCCCTTTTCCGCAGACTGCCTTGTCTCACACGGTGTCTGTGTATCCGTTTGTATAGGCTGTAACCTGAGCCAGCACTACAGGAAGAGGCCCTGAGCTGAAAAAGGGAAGTTCTCTCCAAGCATGAGAACAGATACAGGATTTAAGGAAGAGCATCAAAGAGAAGGGAAACCATGGATTACAGATTAAAAAAAAATCTGAGGGTTTAATGTCACTTTAAGCACTTTCTCAACTGCTTGTGTGACCATAACACATGGAGCCTCAATAGCCTTCTCACATTTCTAAAAACAAGTTTTCCATTTGGACCGCCAAATATCCACTTAGATTTTAGTCTCACTTTATCCTACGGCAGTGTTTCAAATGTTGGTAGGACTTCTCAAATTCACATCTTCACGATATAAAATAGTCATCATACTTTGCTGCCCAATGCAAGTTTTTTCCCCATATCATTTGCATGAGATTGTAGGGCCGTTATAGTTCACGCCACCATTTAGCAAATGTGAGGCAGCCAGGAGACATCCGGTCATACATGCATCTCTTGCACTTTTACTAGTCTACTTACTAGAGCTTCCATGTTATGCTTCTCTAAACTCATAGGCCCATTCAGTAATTCTAATCTCATTGGCAAGATCCATCAGTACTGTATGCATTATACATGACATTAAGCAGGAGAAAATAGGCAAGAAGCACTTATTTGGCAAACCATTTCCAGTCCATTTTTTTGGCAACTTTCCTAGCAAAATGTAACTACAGGAATTTTAGTCAGCCCTTTTAATCAAAATTATTTTCTATTTCTGATTTAAAGAGAAATTTAGAATGTTACAAGTCTGCAAGCCAAAAGGTCCATTTGCCTGCCAGGTTGCTACTGGCTTATAAGAAGGGTGACAAGATGGGAAGGCAAGTCTAAGTTAAGAAGATTACTTTCCTAATGTGCCTTTTCTAATGTGATGCCCAAATCCAGAATTTGCATGATACCTTTAGCTATTCTCATCTCCAGGAACAGAGGTCCTGTGGTGGATATGGGTGGAGGTGGTGGGAGTGTGACCACTTCAACCATCAGGGGGGCAGCAGCAGTTTGAGAGTGGTGGCATCGAACCATTAGCCTATTAAAAGAAAGAAAGAGTCAGTGTTGTAAGACTTAGCAAGGGAATCTCATGCGCTCCCCATGTCTTTACCTCATAGCGCTGTCTCTTGTGATTGAAACTCCTTGCCATGTTCTGGTTTCCTTTGTAGCCTCAAAGGTATTTTCATAAACCATCTCATTCCCAGAGACCTTAAAACAAGAGCATAGTTATAGACAAGCAAATAAGGCTACCCATCTCCTGGGTCACAGTTTTGCATAGTTTTAAGTTGTGAATTAAAGAATGAAGCCAATTAATGACACCATGAGTCAAGTATCTGGTTGAGGATTAGCACCATGGCCATTTCACAGGCAATACAAGACACCCACCCACCCACCAATCTCACCTGCTTTCCACCACATGATAGAGGAAACACGAACGCTACAAAAGCTGAAGTCTTTAAAATGCTCAGTCCAGGGCATGAAGTGGAGTCCACATTAACAACATGTACAGAGTCCAAGATCAAGGAAGGAACAGTCACGTCTTTTGAAATGGCAACCAAAGCATGGCCATCACTTGTGCATCGGGCTGTCACTGCAAGCAGAGCACAGACATTTTCTAAATGAAGCTAAAAAGGTGGTAGTATTCTGCATTAGGCCAATATAATCTTATGGGAACAAAAATGTTCCCATAAGATTATATGTGCATCCATCATATTTGAATTATACCATTAACTTGTAAAGATACCCTTGTACAGTCATCTTGACTTGGACATCAGCAGCCCCAGCAGACTGCCATCATTCAAATGACTGTAGTATAACTCCTCCCCCTGAAGATATATGTAAACATTTATGGAGTGTTGGGATGGGTTGAAGAGCTGGACCATCAGAGTTAGACATTGCCACCAATAGGAGAGGGCTATGACATTGAGAGGGCTGTGCTAGGAATTAATCTCAGAGTAATAGTTTCTAGTACATTCAAAAAGGGACAAAGTACATCAAGTTTTTAGGAACAAAAACTGCAGGTAAGCAAGTTATTGTCTGTGCCTTTACCCAATCTGGCAACCAGGTCTCTACAGAGGAGATTGCTAGTAGCCATTGGTAAATTATGACTCCAGGAATTCAACCCCCACCCCCATTAAAAGCAACACCCTTATGTTAGGAGAAGATATACTGTTGGGGGATGCGATGAGCGACCCCAAGATGCAAGAACTGTATATCAAGCCACCTCATTTGTTAAAGGCTATACCACATGTGGGGGTGGTCAAAAAACTGAATAAAGTTGAGAAAAAAAAAAAGCGACACCTCACACGGTTCTGAACAATTGTGATGGCCAGCAAGCCTCACCCTGTGCTCAGTAGGCAGAGGGGAAGGCACTAATCATTACTATGTAGTGCAGACTTCTACAGTGATTTTTAGCATCCCAGCAGTTCAAAGATCAGATATGGATAGTTCTATTGAACAAAGCTGGATCACTGCAAGTTCCCATAAAGGATCAAAAAATAAATAAGGGCTCCTGCAGGTACAGACCAACATACAAAGGAGACCCTTTACATGTCCACCTTTGTGAACTAGATGAATGTTTTAGCTTTAAATTGAGAAAGCATTAAAACTAGGCATTTGCTAGTTCTGTCCCAAATGGAAATTGGGAAAGACTCACGTTTGGTTATGAACATTGAAAGAAAAATGGTGAAAGTAGTGGCAACAATCAAAACTACAGACATCAAGCACCTGCAAAAAACCATGCAGTGTCTATGGGCACCAACTTCAAAGCATGCTAGCAGAAACTGGGAAGTAACACTAAAGATGAAGCATGATCTAATTGTCTAAAAAGCACTTTCTAAAGAGTTGCCTCATTAGGGGGATAGTTGGCCTAAGTTTGGCTGCCAGGCAGTTAATGCAATAAACTGGACATCACTGGTCCAAGCCACCTTTGACCGACTCACCTTTGTTTCCAAAGTAGCAAGGAAGAGAAGGATCACCAGGAGAGAAGCAGCAACCCATCCCCTCACATACATCCCTGGAGACTGAGTTATCGGCACAGGCCAAGCGGTCACCTCTATCGAAAGCGGCACAGTCGCTGGCACTTGGGGCATCCAAAGCTGGAAAACCAAACAAACCCAAGTTAGAGTGGCCATGCCTCTACAGACTTGTGTATCTCATGAATTTGTGATGCATTCCTCTGAGCCACAATTTGGCAAGGTTTAAACCTTAGTGATAAGTCTTTGGAAATTTTAATTTTGCATTGGCTTTTTTTTTTTTTTTTTTTTTACAGATGGGGTTCTTGTTTTCAGTCAAATATTTAGACCACGGCATGGCAATTTGACAAAGCACTTTAAAGCTTTTAAATGAACCTTTGTTTTTAAATACTGCATTGGTAAAATAAAGCATTGGAAAACATACCCCATATCTATACATCATTCCAGGGTGAATGTACTGGAGAACAATCCCAAGTAGGGGGAATACTGGAATTTACTACCAGTAAAGAATGCAATGCTAACAAGGTTAGGAAGTGTTCATTTGACATTATGTCGTTACGAGTGTTGCTCTTTCTGAAATTTTTGCTTACAATTAAGGTGCACGGATACCATTTTTGCAAGCCTGAGTAACAATACTTTTCCTCAAGTACTCACTGAAACCAATCACCAATACTTTTTTTTAGTGTGTCATGAGTTTTTCTAAAAAAAACAATGCAAACAATTGATTTTAGGACACAGTGATGGAAGTGCCAAGGCCCAGTAGCAAACACTGCACCCCTGGTAGTTCTGCCACTGACTCCAAATCTCAGCAATACATTAAACAGAATGCCACCAGCTTTAGTGGACTATAAACCCCCAGTGATCTATTATACATCAAATGCGGAAAATGAAGCTACATACTCTGCTGCTCTGGGGTGCCAGCCTGTCAAAAGCAGAGGATATCAGGTGGCTTTGCAGGGTTCTCAGGAAGGGTCCCTGGTTGGTCTCAGACAGGTGGTGTGATTTCAGGAAGGAAGAGATGTACAGCTGGTGCTGTAAATTGGCACCAGTTCGCAGGAAGGCTGTATTGCTGGGGACCTTGACAGCCTTCCTGCGAACAAACGACATTCGTTTGCAGCACCGGCTTCAGTTAAAAATTTAAAGCACCGGTATCGCCACTTAGTATCGGGGTATTTTCCCCAAGCATGTACTTTTAAAAAATGCCCAGTATCAGTGCATCCCTAGGTACAATATATTCTAGGTTTGAATTGGTGCATGCCAATTGATACATTTTACCTGGTTGAATGGGACACTTTATATCCCTTTTGTGATGATCCAATTCACCATCATCAAGTCTGTCAACTATCACAGTCATCACGTAGTCTTCATCCTACAGGTGAGAGAACAAAGCAAGCAACATTGAATTTGCCATGACCCTGGACACAATGCTTCTAGAATCCTTGCTTCATGTGTTGAGATTTTTTGTTTGAGATAGTATAACCACAGCTTATGGTGAGAGGGGACCAAGTAATCAAAGTCCTCCAACTGAATAAGTGCTTAGCACAGCCAAGTATTCCCATGTCTCCTGCCATACCACATCCCCAAAAAAAGGATTACGCCTCATTTCAGAACAGTAGGTGGAGCCATACGACATACACACTTGGAACTGCTAGTGTATAGTGCAAATATGATCCAATATTGTAAATAAGATTTAGCCTATTAGCACTATACACAAGCAGTTCTGAAGGCCCATCAGGCAGGGGGGGGGGGGGGTGATTTGCATGGCTCTACCCAATCTCCTGAAATGAGGAATAATCCTATTTCTGACACATGAGGGACCTACACATGAATACCTTACATTTCAAGCAGATGAATGCATTACACAGGCCTCCACCTCTCCAGAAGACGGATTAAGGCTTTCCAAATGATCGCCTTAAAATAGTACCCCCAAAAAAAAAAAAAAGTTTTCTGGCACCCAGGTATGAAAGTAGAAACATAGTTCCTGATGAAGTAGATCTAGAGCCAAAAAGTTTGTCTTTGAGCAGAATCCTTTAAGACATTGTCCACATTGGAACAACCCATGTTCCAGTGAGGGCTAGAACATTTTGGATTTACAATCACTTTCTGCCCCAGTGACCAGGACATAACAGATTCATCTCACTAGAGGGAGACAGGCCATAGAAACCTGGTAGAGGCCTTTCCACAGCTTCCAAAATAAAACAGGTTGTCTCAAAAAAAATTGTTTGCACTCAAACTTCCATCAGGTTTTTATCAGTAAGAACCACCTAAACCAACTCCTTCCCCTACCCTGACCCAATTTAACAAGGGGAATTAGCTGAAGCCTACTTTCTCAGATAATGTGACTTTAAACTTTGAGTCCCTCTTTTCTCCAGTTCTTACCCACCATGAGCCTTGGAGATCCCCAACCTCTAAAGTACATTTGCTTCTTCCTTTTGGATAGATAGGCGATGAGAAAACAAAAGCTTCAAACTAGACCACTAGTGTGTCAATGCGCCACTCCTAGACCACTAGGTGTGTTCGTTTTCATCAGTATATTGATTAGTATGCACAATGCGATATTGCCCCCACCTCCTTCCTTATGTAGCATCCATCATAAGTCGCAGTGATAAGTGGTGTGGTCTCCATTCCCTCTCCTATCCACAGGCCACAAGCCGAGTCATTCTGGAGAGAGCGGGCTTGATCCTCATTATCTAGAAAAGGTTCATAGTGGATTAGAATGACACGGTTACCATACAATTAAGTATACCTTGCAGACAATAGTCCAATCATTCCACCCGTAGTTGACCCACCTCTGGAGAGACAGCAGATATGGCATTGGAAGAGTCAGTTCCTTTGTTTGCTGCTCACTGTTTCAGACTAAAAGCAATAAAGGGAACTGCTAATGCAATACAGCAGGCACTGCAACTGTGCTGAGATCAGAATGTCCACCCAAGTTACTTTAAACACCAAATTTAGGCAGAATTTTGAGGAAGGGCACTATCAAAACTGGAGCAGACAAAATCTGGAGCAGTTGCCCATGGCAACCAATCAGCATCTCTGCAGTTTGCTCAGTTAAGATATGCAAATGAGACAAGCTGATTGGTTGCAGTGCAAACCAAAACATGCTCCAGATTTTGATAAATCCCCCCCCCCTCCCATGTGTTTTTAGATGTAGGAAAGCTAAAATGGAAGTCATTTTGGAATCAGTCAGTGGCGTAACAACCGGGGGTGCAGCAGGGGCGCGAGCCCCGGGCGAAAAGTGAAGGGGGGGCGCCGGCCGAAAATGGCACTTTCGGCAGAATGCCGAAAGTGACATTTTCCTGCCGTTTTGCCGGCGCGCCCGTGATTCCCTTCATCCCCGCTGGGACACAGCAGTGCCCAGCAGGGATGAAAGGAATCAGAGAAAATGACAGCCGGCCGAATCAGTTACTTGTAATACCAAAGGGCCACACAATATTCACTTTAGGACAGTATGGTCAGAGACTTCACAGACACTTGGGAGACACTTGGGAGACCCTCAGACTGCAGATATGAAACAAGGGTGGTTGGAAACTCAGGACATTGCAGGAGAGACTGGACACATGCAATGCAAGACTGTTAGATCAATCATCATAGCCTGGAACAACTACTGGAGGCTGCATAGCAAGTATCAGAGTGCCACATGGTGGTCACCAGAACTCTATGCAGCAGCTCTCAAGCTAGAAGGGTACTATAAAGAGCCAGTAGGGCTACAGCCACATGCACAGACCAATAACATGCTCAGAGGATGACATAGGTTAAATCATCAATCTGCTGCTGGGGGCTGCAAGGCAATCAAACTGTATAGCTTCATTGCAGCTGAGAAAGAGTGAGATCACCCACCCACCTGCACAATCTCTGTGCGCACAGCCATAGCATCAAAGTGATTTTGATAGCTTAGGCAATAAAGGTCTATATGCATGCTAGTATAGCCATTGTATTGTACTACATGTGCATAGAAGGGTCACAGATAGGGTTGCCACCTGTCCAGGATTCACCCGGACAGTCTGGATTTTGAATGCTGTGTCCGGGTTTCATGGCAGCTGAAACCCGCACACATGATGTCAGGCATACAGGGGCAACCAAAATTATATGGGGGTTCCTAGCCCCCCCACTAAAAATTCTCTCAACTGTGATATTTACATATGAATAAGCAGTGACTCATTATCCCAAATGTGTTTTACGTGCGTTGCAAGAGCGTTCAGGTTTCGCTGGAAGAAAAGGTGGCAACCCTAGTCATAGAAGACACACAATCATTCAGCTTTAAATATGTACTCACCAAGTATTGTAATATCAGCAGCAAAGGCTTCAAAACCCAGAGGAAGGGAAAAGCTCATCTCTCCAAACCCGCAATGCACATTAGACAATTCATCTAAAAACTTCTGCGCACCAAATGCTAAGCATGGCAAATGGCAGCTCCATAAAATGGCCAAAAGCCCCAACCTTGCTAGAGAAAACCCCATATTGCCTGAAGCTCAAAGTTCCCCAACCCACCACAGGGCAGAGATTTATACTGCTATTAGGAGGCTGGAGCAGTCATCTGATTGGACAGGTGTTAGTGGGAACCCAGGAGTAGAGAGGGCAGTCTACATATTAACCCATTATTGACCTTTAACCCTATTGTATGACTGGCAGTTCACATACCCTAGGCATTGCTGCACCACCTTATATGGCTGGTGGGTTACATTCCCCGGGCATTGCTGCACTACCTTATATGGCTGGTGGGTTACATACCCCAGTCATTGCTGAACCACCTTATATGACTGGTGGGTTACATACCCTAGACATTACTGCACCACATTATATGACTGGCGGTTTACATACCTTAAGCATTGTTGCACCACCTTATATGACTGGTGGGTTACATACCCTGGGTATTACTACACCACCTTATATGACTGATGGGTTTAAATATCCTAGGCATTGCTGCACCACCTTATATGACTGGTGGTTTACATACTCTGGCTATCACTACACCACCTTATATGGCTGATGGGTTTACATATCCTAGGCATTGCTGCACCACCTTATATGACTGGTGGTTTACATACTCTGGGTATTACTTCACCACCTTATATGGCTGATGGGTTTACATACCCTAGGCATTGCTGCACCACCTTATATGACTGGTGGGTTACATATCCTAGGCATTGTTGCACCCACTTTATGGTTAACAGTTCACATACCCTAGACCAGTGATGGCGAACCTTGGCACTACAGCTGTTTTGGAACTACAAGTCCCATGAGGCATTGCAAGGCTCTGACAGCCACAAACATAACTCCCAGAGGCAGAGGCATCTTGGGATTTGTAGTTTTGGCACAGCTGGAGTGCCAAGGTTCGCCACCACTGCCCTAGACATTGCTGCACCACCTTATGTGACCGGTGGTTTACATACTCTGGGTATTACTGCACCACTTTATATGGCTGAGGGGTTACATACTCTGGGTATTACTCCACCACCTTATATGACTGGTGGTTTACATACTCTGGGTATTACTCCACCACCTTATATGACTAGTGGTTTGCATACGCTGGGTATTACTACACCACCTTACATGGCTGATGGGTTACATACCCTAGGCATTGCTGCACTACCTGATATGGCTGATGGGTTACATACCCTAGGCATTGTTGCACCACCTTATATGACTGGCGGTTTACATACCCTGGGTATTACTGCACCACCCTATATGACTGGCTCTTTACATAATCTAGCCATTGCTGCACCACCTTTTAAAATTGAATAGCACTAAGGGTCCTTTCTCACCCTTTTTTTTTTTAAAAAGGTCCATCTAGGATTTCTTTCCACCGGGTGGTGTGTAATGTGTTGAAATTAATGGGCTTGTGACCCACCAAAGACATCCTAAAATCAGATATAAATAAATACTGCCGCAGTGCACTATGGTCCATCGCCGTGAGTGGTGATGCATGTATGAGGCCTTAGTGCTTTGGGGTGCTTTTTAAAATAAATGGAACCGCAACGTATCACTGCTGTGTGATCACACAAAAGAAGCACCGCTCCCCCGCGGCTCAGGCAAAGGATGAGACGGGTGCTTGGTGCTGGGAGCACGTCCTTGCTCCAATATGAGCCCATACTAACAGAAGAAAAGCCGTCCGCACACCGGGTTCTGCTGGGAAGTTGATTGAAGTTTGTACGACATCAGTGGTGTTCCGCCCAAGGTCCACCCCTCTGGTTCCCTGGTTCTTCTTGATGGGTGGAGGTCAGTCTGGAGGAGTGGGCGTTCCTAGGCAGGCTGTATTTGCATGTAGACCGCCCAAGGTAAGGCCCACATGTGATGCAGAGCTTCCATGATTGAAAGACCTGAAACCCAATTAATGAAAGGGGCGGGGACAGGAACAGTCAAGCCAGGGAGGAAATCAGGCAAGCTCTATGTGACTTACTGCAGCTTCTAATGCACATTGTGCGAAGTTCACAGGGCGCAGTCAGGGCCGTTGCTGCCAATAGGCAAATTAGGCAGCTGCCTAGGGTGCACTGCTGCCTAGGGCGCACTGCTACCTAGTGTGCAGCCTTGACCATTCACCCCCCCCCACGGTGCCCCCCGTCTATTCCAAATTGCAAAAGCCAATAGCAGGCTGGCTATTGCGCCCGCCCACTGAGCAGAGGAGCTGAACTGAGAGACAACTTTCTCTCTCAGGTTTGTTCCTCTGCTCAGTGGGTGGGGTTTCAATAGCCAGCCTGCTATTGGCTATTTCAAATTAAATTAAATCCACCTGTCACCTGCAGAAGCTAAGCCGCAGGGGAATGGGGCTGCGCCGGGGGGGATTGGGGGTTGCGCCACGGGAGGTGGGGTGCAAGTAGCTGTTCTTGCCTAGGGTGCAAAATCGTCTAGCACCGACCATGGGTGCAGTGAAATCAGAGTAAGCCATTTTAGTCCAGGAGAGGAGCCGGTACAACTGTGGAAGCCTGATGGAAGGACGGAGGTCAGATAGAACACTGAAGGGGGGGATGGAGGTCAGTGGGAAGAAGGCTCCTTACATTGGAATGCTCCTTACATTGGAGGTTACATTGGAGGTCAGTGGGAAGAAGGCTCCTTAAAATGGTGAGCAAGGGCAAGAATGCTCCTTACATTAGTGGTAAGTGGGAAGAACGCTCCTTACATTGGTGGTCATTAGGAAAAATGCTCCTTACATTGATGGCCATTGGGAAGAATAACCCTTACATTGGTGGGCAGTGGGAAGAATAACCCTTACATCGGTGGGCAGTGGGAAGAATAACCCTTACATCGGTGGGCAGTGGGAAGAATAACCCTTACATTGGTGGGCAGTGGGAATAATGCTCCTTACATTGGTGGGCAGTGGGAAGAATAACCCTTACATTGGTGGTCATTGGGAAGAACAACCCTTACATTGGTGGGCAGTGGGAAGAATGCTCCTTACATTGGTGGGCAGTGGGAAGAATAACCCTTACATTGGTGGGCAGGGGGAAGAATGCTCCTTACATTGGTGGGCAGTGGGAAGAATAACCCTTACATTGGTGGGCAGGGGGAAGAATGCTCCTTACATTGGTGGGCAGTGGGAAGAATAACCCTTACATTGGTGGGCAGGGGGAAGAATGCTCCTTACATTGGTGGGCAGTGGGAAGAATAACCCTTACATTGGTGGGCAGGGGGAAGAATGCTCCTTACATTGGTGGGCAGTGGGAAGAATAACCCTTACATTGGTGGGCAGGGGGAAGAATGCTCCTTACATTGGTGGGCAGTGGGAAGAATAACCCTTACATTGGTGGGCAGGGGGAAGAATGCTCCTTACATTGGTGGGCAGTGGGAAGAATAACCCTTACATTGGTGGGCAGGGGGAAGAATGCTCCTTACATTGGTGGGCAGTGGGAAGAATAACCCTTACATTGGTGGGCAGGGGGAAGAATGCTCCTTACATTGGTGGGCAGTGGGAAGAATAACCCTTACATTGGTGGGCAGGGGGAAGAATGCTCCTTACATTGGTGGGCAGTGGGAAGAATAACCCTTACATTGGTGGTCAGTGAGAACGCTCCTTACATTGGTGGGCAGTGGGAAGAACGCTCCTTACATTGGTGGGCAGTGGGAAGAATAACCCTTACATTGGTGATCAGGGGGACAAATACCCCTTTATATTGGTGATCAGTTTTTTTTGGTGTGTGTGTGTGTGTGTGTGTGTGTCCTCAACAACAATAAATAGGCAAAAATGTATTCAAATAAGTAACTTTCATTGAAAGGAATCCTCTACACGCTCATAAATATTTGGATTGTGAAATAATTTTGTACCGAAAACAAAATCTATTTTTCAGTTCATCCAAAGGTGAAATGTTCTCTCTTCTTCCCCTCTCCTACGTCCCCTGGTCTGCTATGACTGGCGGGATTTCAGAACTATGGAATTAATAAAAAATAAATCTTCTGTTGCATAATATAAAAAAAAACAACTGTCGAGAAAGTTTTACAAATGTATCAAACAGATTCTTAAAGCGGACCGTCCATGATATTTGTAAACAAAGTGTTTGCTTCAGCCAGTCTCGAGTGTAGCTCGAGTGGGGTGGGGGTGGGGGCATTAGCAGGGGGCTCCGCTGCAATTTTTTTACCTGCAGCAGAGCCTATGCTAATGCGCCCCTCCCCCAGCTTCTGCACTGACAGGGAACTTTATGACAGGGGACACCGATGGTCATTGTGTATTCCAAGCCCACATAATATCCAATAGTGTTCCCTGTCGTAATGTCTCCTGTCAATGCAGCTTCGGGGGGCATTAGCTGGGCCTTGTAGAGAACCTGCCGCTGTGCCCCTACTAATGCTCCCCCTTCCCCATACAGACAACCTCACCACCCCCTCAAGATTGTGCACTGACAGGGGACATTAGGACAGAGTACATTGGTGGACATGATGTATTCCAAGCCCACATAATGTCCATCAGTATCAGTGGCGTAACCAGAGTTATGGGCGCCCGGGGCAGACATCCCCCCCCCCATTATATAAACATCCACTGGAACTGTACCCCGCAACCGCCACCCCCACACGTTTTTAATTTTCATTTTTTAAAATATTTAATTTTTATTCTTTATAAACTTTTTAATTTTTTTAAATTAATTTACTTTCAGTTGTTTACTGTTCAAAATGTTCATATATATGTTGCTGAATACTGCACAAGTTGTTTTGTGTAATAAATTAAAATGTTTCAGAAATGAAATCATTTTTGGGTCACGCCTTAATGACCAAGGAAACAGGTGGGTCCCGAGGTTACACAGGTGGAGAACCACTGCCTTAAATTATATTTCTTAATCCGATCTTCTTCTTCTTTCCTGTCCTTTTTAGCCTTCTCTCCAGCACTGCTGCGGGTCTCCAATCCAGCGCTGTCTCCTCTGTCCTTGCTGGCACTTCCTGTCCCACGGTGTCTGCATGCGGGTGCACGCCGTCCATAGACTTACCTTGCGTCTCTCCTCGTCTCCCGGCCGAAAATCCGAACTGCGCATGCGCCCGCCCGAGCAGTTTCGGATTCTCGGGAAGGGAGTGCGTGGGGAAGACAGCGGTAAGTTTAAGCCGCTTATAAAGTGTTTTTTCTAAAAAGTTTTTGCATACTGTATATCTACTGCTTGCAAGCCTTATATATATGCAAAAACACCGGAGGGTTTAAAAAGCCTTTAAGGCCTCATTCACATGAGAAAATGGCCCGGACGTACAGGTCGCTCCTGGGAAGGACAGGTGCTGCGTGTGATTAGTACCCAGCCCCTGTCCTCTATGGGAGTATGAGGCCGGCCGTACACCCCCCTACGCTCACCTCAAGTGCAGGTCTGTACGTGTGCGTGTTTCCTGGCTCGGACGCAGACAGGATCCATCCTGTCAGCATACGGGTAGGGACACCCGCACGGACATGCAGGGCGGGTGAGCGTAGGGTGGCATACGGCCGCGTAGTCCCATAGAGAAGGACAGGGGTACTAATCACACGCAGCACCTGTCCTTCCCAGGAGCTGCCCGATACGGCCGTGAATGAGGGCTAAGGGACTATATAGCAAATGTCTATGACCCTAACGTGTCCCTAACCCTTGTCTTGTTCCAAAATGTAGGTGAACCAGAGGAGATTAAGCTGGTCGATGGGCAGACAGAATGCGAGGGAAGACTAATGGTGAAGCACCGGGGGGAGTGGGGCTCAGTGTGTGGCTATTACTGGGGTGTCTTCGAAGCCACCGTGGCCTGTAGACAGCTGGGATGTGGCAGCCTACAGGAAGACGGCGTGCAAGCCAAGGCGGCCAACTTCGGAGCCGGCTCTGGGAGGATCTGGCTAAGCCATGTCAAATGCACCGGAAGAGAGTCATCTCCGGCCAAGTGTCACCACCGGATGTGGGGGGTCGAGGGATGCGGGCACAAGGATGATGTCGGCGTGGTCTGCGAGGACAAGAACACCGGTATGTGACCTTTAACAATGAATGAACAAATATACATTGGCCAGCAAAGCCCAGTAAGTCTTTACATTTTTGCCCAACACTTACAGTCATCATGTTTCTGAACAGCTCCAACTCTCTCATCTTGGCTTCCCTGAACTTCCTGTCCTGTACAAAATCACAAAGGACACAGCAGTCTCCAGTAACTGTCCATCTACTAGCTTGAACAACAGAAGAGGGAGGAGGGAGAAGTTGGGGAGTGTCTTAGCTTGCTGTGCCTGTGTGATTGTGGAGACACACAGCTTACTAGCACACACAAGGGGTGGCTCCATAGGACCCTGCAAGGGAAAGGACCTTAAAACAGGATATCAGGGCCAGTGCTCAGGGGACCGGCTGATTCTTACAGTGGCAATATTAAAAATAATTTCTGATTGATCAACTTGATCAATGGTAAATTGTTTTTATTTTCATATCTTGTGTAGCCATCTTCTGTACAGCTGATCTCATTCTATACAATATCCTGGGAGCATTCGTGTACATTCCACCTACACATACACTAAAAGGATATTTCATGTGATCCCGGGAATATCCAATTGCCTTAGAGATCAGAAAGGAATTTTTTTTGCCTGTTGGAGTGAACTGAATCATGCTTTTTGTTTTTGTTTCGCCTTCTTCTGTAACTTTGTGTAACTGTGAGAGCTCGAAGCTGATTGGTTTCCATGCTCAGCTGCTCCAGATTCTGTCTGCTCCATGCATAGTAAGTTTCCCTCATTGTATCTATTTTGCCTTTTTTTCCCTTTTATCTCTTTTCTTTTTGCCCCCCCAAAGGACTGAGCAGCCAATTCAGACTTGTGAATGGCAGTCAGCGCTGTTCGGGAAGAGTAGAGATGATCTCCGCTGGTGAATGGGGAGCGGTGTGCGGAGAACGCTGGGACTTGAGGGGTGCCAACGTCTTATGCAGACAGTTGCATTGTGGTACGGCCGTGTCGGTCCCCCATGGTGGCTATTTTGGAGAGAAGCACCCGGTATGGAGAGACGCATTCTACTGTAAAGGCACAGAGCCCGACCTCAAGCAGTGCACAAGGACAGCTCTGGGGAACCATAAGTGTCCAACCTGGGATACAGCAGGTGTCATATGTACAGGTAGGTACTTACATTTGTAGAGGTCACACAGGAAGTAAAATGTAGAATGAGAGCCTGAACAGGAAATGAAGAAGAGGCTGCTTACCTTCAGACTCCCCAAAATCCATGACCAGTGAGATCTGCATTCCAGTACACACTGCACAGTTCCCAGTAGCAGGGCTGTCCCGAGGCCGGGTGTCACCCGGAGCGGGTACCGGGTGACACGCCGTAGTGACGTCATCACCCAGGTGCGTGACATCGCCACGCCCGCCCGTGATGACGTCATTGCAAATGCGTGGCCATCTTGGTGACACATGCCCAGACATCTCAACTCTCCCGGAAGCTCCGGGAGTCTCCCGCTATTCTCCCGGGAGAGAAACATTTTCTCCCGGAAAGGTTTAATCTGCTCTATAAATGGGATGAGCTATGCTGCCGGGTCCCCTCCTCTCTCCTGACACTGTCGGCCTCTTGGTCCATGACCGAGTGCCCGATTTTTTAGAGGGGGTGACACCAAAATGACTGTCATTTTGATGTCACCCCTACAATGGTGTCACCCGGGTGCGGGCCACACCCCCCTTGTGACGCCACTACCTAGTAGCCATGTTACTAGTGAAATGCCTCATTCTTATTGCAAATAGTGCCTCATCCCTCTGCATTGCAAGCAGTGACTTGTGCTTCTCTAATACACACAGTGCTGCATGCCTCTGTGCTACATGCAGTGCCTCATTCTTCTGCAGTACATACAGTGCCTCATCCAGCGGTGTATTTACAAATGCTGCTGCCCTAGGCAAAACAGCAACGCCGCCCCCCCCCCCGTACTGACGGACCCTGGCCTCATCCCTCTGCATCACAAGCACTATACCAATGCTTGTTTATTAAACATAGTGCTGAATGTCTCTCTATTACATACAGTACCTCATCTCTTTCTCTTACAAGCAGTGTCTCATGCTTTTATATTACATACAGTGCTGCATGCCTCTCTACTACATGCAGTGCCTCATCCCTATGTAATACAAGCAGTGCATCATACACTTCTTTATATCCGGTGCTGCATGCCCCTCTATTACATGCAGTGCCTTATACCTTTGTAGTGCACACAGTATCTTACCCCTCTGACATACATAAAGTCCCTCATACCACTCTACTTCATGCAGTGCCTCATACTTCTCTATTACATGCAGCTCCTTATGATTATTATATGCAGTGTCTTCTACCTCTGTATTACATGCTAAGCCTTATAACTTCCTATGATATGTAGTTTCTCATACCTCTGAACACACTCTTGAGCCAATTAAAACAAATTAACCCACCAAAATATAGAATGAGGAAGACCTGGAATCCCACATATACAGAGATAGATGTGTATCTGCTTGGAAATGATACCTGGACTCTAGTGCTACAAGGTCAGAGTCACAGCTTTTAAGCTACAGCCATTTTCGGTTTCTGTATCCCCTCTAGGAAAGGCAGAGACCCTCCGTTTAGTTGATGGCCCAGATCACTGTGAAGGCAGAGTGGAGGTCCTACACAACAAGACCTGGGGTCGTGTGCTGGGCCATCAGTGGGACATGACAGAGGCAGAAGTGGTGTGCAGGCAGCTACACTGCGGAGACGCTATTGGGTCATTCAGGCTGAAGGAACCCGCGGCTGGCCCTGTAACGTGGCACAGTGTCACTTGTGAAGGAAGCGAGAAGCACATTGAGGATTGTTCTGTCACCATAGATGGTTCTTCAGTGGCTTCCACCAACCCAGCCACCGATGTCGGTGCCATCTGCTCAGGTAGGTGCATGTTTTCCATTCATCCATTCCCACCTTGAATCTCTCGACAGGTAAAAAGACTCCGTCACCTTGCCAATTTGGAAAAGTAACCGTGCCCATGTAACTCCAACCCCCATACTCGCCTCTCCAGCCATTCCTTGCTACTCCTTCTTTGGTCCCAACCACCACCGGTGGTGTGGTTTCAGCAGCAGCAGTGAAGTCACCTCCTGTGTCACATGACTCAGGCCAGAGTTGGGCTTTAAAGATACCATCCAGAGCTGGCTATGGACCCATCAGCTCTGCTAGAAACATCAGCCTATGCATCAACCCAACATTTTGAATTATTGAGCTTGAGAACATAATGTCTCCATTTTCTCCACAGCAGCAGAAGAGTGTAGAAATGTCCGTCTGGTGGACAGCTTGCACCGGTGTGCCGGCCGGGTGGAGGTCTACCGGAAGGGTGAGTGGGGTGTGATCATCGGTGATACCTGGAACCTGGTGAACGGTGAAGTGATCTGCAGGGAGCTGCATTGCTGCGGACGCATCTTAAAGGTAGAAGGACAGTCTGTACGCGGAACCAGGGCACTGTGGCTGAGCAGATTTAACTGTGCTGGGAAGGAAACTGACCTGTGGCAATGTCTGTACACCTCGTGGGGTGCTTCCACCTCGGAGGAGAAGGAAGCTGCAAGAGTTGTCTGCTCAGGTACAAAAACATTTGGCTATATATATATAATTTTCAGAGTCTTCAGACATGACCTGACAGGACCAGTCCTGTGTTTTTAACAGGCCAGTGGAGGAGATGCTAATATATTGCTATATATAATTTTCAGAGTCTTCAGCCATGACCTGACATGACCGGTCCTCTTTCTTTAGGAGGCCAGCGAAGGAGATGCTAATATATTTCTGTATATAATTTTTCAGAGTCTTCTGCCATGACCTGACACGACCGGTCCTCTTTTTTTAGGAGGCCAATGGTGGAGAAGCTAATATATTGCTATATATAATTTTTTTGAGTTTTCTGCCATGACCTGACATGACCGGTCCTCTTTTTTTAATAGGCCAGTGGAGGAGATGCCAACAAAATTGTTATATATAATTGTCAGAGTCTTCTGCCATGACCAGTCCTCTGTCTTTAGGAGGCCAGTGGTGGAGTTGCTAAGGGGCCCCGTCCACAATTTCGGACCCCACTGTTAAACTACCTGCCCAGTAAAAATGAGTAACTGTCTATATATTGATAGCTAGATCAAAGTAAGCATAGTCCCAGTTTGGGAGACAGCACCCATCTGACCCATATCTAGACCCAAACACCCAGTGGAACCCAACCCAATGCACAAATGGTATGCCCAGCCATGGCCCAGGCAGCATAATGACTCCATTGAGGTCCACGACAGCCTTGACTCAGAGGAACTGGGCTGGCCGTCATTCAGTGTGGAGCACGGGTGACACCTAGTGGTGGAAAAGTGTTACTGCAGGCACCAGATCTAGATTGAAGGTAAGGATTGCAGCCAAAGTTTTGTCATTTTTGTATTTTACATTTTTTCACATTGGAATTATGCTTTAAAAAGGAGCCAATGAAATCCTGAGCTACATACATGGTCTGTGGCTCGGAAAGTATCGGTGGTGGGTTGGTTCTCTTCCATAAAAGAGCAGTCAGGCAGCTGCCACAGGAAACCGCAGAGCTGTAGTCACCCTGTTAGCTGTCCTGTGTAGCAGTTGTCTGTGAATCACGAGACTAGCCGAACAGTACAGATACTTCACATGTACAGTATTTAGTTTAAGAACGTATTGAATTGTTTCCCGCTTGTTCCCCTTGAAATCAGCCTGAAAGAAATCACATCCAAGGGGACTCGAATTTTGTCCGATGTAACCCGCCTCCATAATATCGTTCTTTTGCAGAATTCACCGATTTGCGATTGGTGGGCGGGGCTCGTGAATGCCAAGGCCGCCTGGAGGTCTTCTATAATGGAAGCTGGGGTTCTGTCTGCAGTAATCTGATGAGCAGCCATGCGGTCTCTGTAATCTGCCAGCAGCTGAATTGCGGGACCAGCGGGCAGCTGGAGAATCCCTTTACGTATGGCTCCGGTGGCGCCCCCTACTGGCTGGACCTTATAGACTGCCGCAGCCGAGATGGTTCTCTGGGCGAATGCCCGTCGGCACCCTGGGGAGAGAATGAGTGCGGCGCCGGTGAAGTGGCTCAGATCACATGTGAAAAAACCTAAGGAGGCGACTTAAAGGGCAACACCTGATGGGTCACGCTCTGTCCCTTTAAATGTAATTTTTTAGCCCAAAATGTGAATATTGATGGAAATCTCTCCCTTCCGTAGTATGTCGGCCTGTTGATATTGTTTTCATTCTAGTCCTCTTGTTTCTTTATAATTATTGTGCATATACCTCTGTGATATGTAAGCTATGTCTTAAAGTGGAACTTTGTGCCCTGCTTTCTATCTCGGTGACAACGGAAGGTGATAGGAAACCTAACATGGTGTTCCTGTTGTCACCGGGGGAGGAGTGGAGTAGAGATTTCCCAATGGGACTCCTGCTGCAATGACAGTCATCCATGGCGTGGTCTCCCCTTACTTTGTAGGCTTTTCCCTCTCACTTCCTGTTACATCTTTGAGACAGGAAGTGAAGTGAGATTACCCCTAACTGGGGACGACCGAGGTTCCAACCCTGACACATTCAATGCTACAAAGAAAGAGCTTTGGGTGGTCTTACACTTTAAATCTCCAGGACTCAATTTTTTCCTGTCCTTGTTAACGCTAAGGGGCTCATTCACAAGAGCGCGCACATCCGTACGCATGCACGCACGCCTGTATGAATGAGCCATAAACGTCAGTCAAGCAACTCTATACACACAGCTGAAAACCCAAATCTGCTTGGACCCTGCCAGACAGAACCCCCGGGTCCTGAACTCCTCTGCAGCTTCATAATGCCCTTCCTAGCACGTGATTGGACAATGAAGGAGAAGCAGGTAACTGATGAGGTCATTCCTATGCCCTAATCCCCACTAACCCCATAAGAATGTACAGACTGTAAGACTGACAGCTCTGTGCATAGCTGTAGAACCCTGATTGGTTCAAAGAGCTGCCCCTCCCTCTCCCAGCCTGTTGTGTAGGGACTGTGGAAGGCGGAGGCAGGTACTTGTGTTGTATTTATGTAAAATGCATTTTTTGTTTGTATAAATACATATCTATTAAATAATAATTTTTAATATCTGCCCGGAGTTCTGTGTTTCCTTACATAATTCAAACTTACTTTTAATAACACCCAGTGCCAAACTGACGCGTTTCACTTAATTCAGAGCATCTACCGGTGCAAACCAGACCACAACTGTGAAAGCTGAACTCCGGGATCAGGAAGAAATTGTCCTCATACAAGAGGGGGCGGAGTCCTGTGTATTCTTCCAGATCTGGGCAGTAACCCAGTGTGAGACTTGGAGGTTCCTGTAATAAAGACCGGTCACTGCTGCTCTCTCTCCTTGTGCAGGATGCCTGGTCTTGTCTCCGCCCCCTCCTGTAATAAAGACCGGTCACTGCTGCTCTCTCTCCTTGTGCAGGATGCCTGGTCTTGTCTCCGCCCCCTCCTGTAATAAAGACCGCTCACTGCTGATCTCTCTCCCTGTGCAGGGTGACTGGTCTTGTCTCCGCCCCCTCCTGTAATAAAGACCGCTCACTGCTGCTCTCTCCTTGTGCAGGGTGACTGGTCTTGTCTCCGCCCCCTCCTATAATAAAGACCAGTCACTGCTGCCCTCTCTCCTTGTGCTGGGTGACTGGTCTGGTCTCCTGTAATGGGTGGGCCTGATGGGCCCCTCCCCCAGCTCTGCTCTCTGCACAGGCCACGCAGAGCCCAGTGCTGATATCACTGCTACTTATAATATCTGGATCTAAACTGAGGGGGTTTGTTCTGTGCCCGGGGGTTCAGCTTTGCGGCAGATCTCATATTGTATGAGGACAATACTCGCTCGTCCCGGAGTTCAGCTTTAAATAAGAACAAGATGAAGGTTGTGCGCCGAGCATGTTACAGATGTAAAATGAAGCAAAGGTAACTCGCCATCCTGCTGCTGACAATCTCTGGCGTCCATTATACTTCCCAACCAATGGTTGCTTCAGTGGTAGGCCACCTCGGCCCTCCGTCTGCGGTGAAACTACAAATCCCATAATGCCTCTGGCCGTAAGAGTTTTGCAATGCCTATTGGGACTTGTGGTGCCACAACAGCTGGCGTGCAGAATTACCAATGATGTAGAGATGACTAACGTTACAATGGCAGATAGTATCGGGAATGCCATAAATACTTCCACTGATATCTCCTATCAGTGTTATCAGCGTCGCAGTTTATGGCAGGTGAGAGGTGCAGCCAACCTTTGTGATCGTGCGTCGGGATTTTTCCCCGGTGCTCCGCCGTCCGTTTCCTTGTATCGCTTCTTCCTCTTCAGATTAATTTGCTTTTGTATCAGATGATGTAGCAGCAAAGGTGAGAGATAAAGCTGCAGGGTCGCCTTCCATGACGTCCAGGGGCCGTTCATTCTACAGTTATGGTAACACATGCGTTACTGCAAGGCTCATCCATCTGAATGGCACTCCTCATAGTTGCAGCCGACGTGCGGCAATGAGACTGTCACACGTCGGCTCAGTAGATGGGGAAGTGAGCGAACACATACCGTCGCTCGCTCACCTCTCGATCATCTCCCTGCAGAGAGCCGTGACTGTCAGTCATCCCCCCTCCCCTCCAGCGCTGACTGGCGGAACGGACGGGGGAGGGGGAGGGTACAGCTGGCTCTGCCTCTAGACAGGCAGAGCTAGCTGTCAATCACGCTGCTGGGCGGATCCAGACATGTCGGTATACCGCGAGCTGTAGCTCACTATATACTGAGCTTTGGGTGACGGGAGGACGCTAGTTTATGTCCTCCTGTGACCCTGAGGAGAACTATGGGGAAAAACACTGACCGCATAGTTCTCTTTGAAGAATGAAACGCAACGCATCGCACAAATGTGTCAACAATCCTGCTTTCTGCGTCTTCCAGGAATGCAAAACGTCCGTGCAACGGAATGGCAAGGCGCGTCCTATGAATCTGTAAGACGCTGCGCTGAAACAACACGCAATGAAACGCACAGAGATGTGAATGTAACCTTAAAGTGCAACTATAGATTTGTATAGAGTGGAGAGGGATCAGACCCCCCCTGTCAGTTTTTTTTTGCCGTCTGTGTCCCCGCTAGGGAGATTCACCCGCTCTGTGTGTCCTGGTGAATGTCATCGCTGAAAGAAAATACCAAATTATGGGTTGTCACCAGAACAGGAATAGATGGGAAATCTTCCAGTGGGGATACTGGTTCTGCTGACCACCAGGGATTTCCCTCTCTTTGGAGACATTTCCTCTCACTTCCTGTTGTGGCTATTGACAGGAAGTGAAATCTCCCCAGTGGGACAGTTGCATTAGCCAGGGTGTGTCTGGTGAATCACCTGCACTCCATACAGCTTGGCGCCCGTCAATAATGTGGTGTTTGAAGTGGTGACACAGATGGCGGCGTGTAGAAGATGAACATAGGAACCAGATGATCACCAGCACACGCATGTACTCTTTTCGGACCTGGTTAGTCATCACATAATGTCATAAATGCCAATGCCAGCGTTTCGGGGCCACACAGGGTTCCTTCGTCAGGGCGACATGGTGACACAGATAAGGTCTCAAGAGAGTACATGTGTGTGCTGGTGATCCCTATGTGAATTAGACATGATGATGTCACGGGTCCTTAGTCCGCCAGAGCCCTGGGGGAGAAGAAGAGGCTGTGGGGTCCAGTCTGGCAGCCCGGCGAGTATATTTTCTTTATTTTAGCCCCTAGAACAAAATAAGCAGTTAACCATTGCAGTGCTGGAGTAGCCCCACTGCAAAGGGTTCATGTTTAGATTGCCTGGAGTTCTTCTTTAATATTTCCACCAGCCTGGTCCAAACCTCAACTTCCTTCTTGATTTGACGACATTTCCTGTAACATGGTCCCACCTGGGCCCTCTTCATCCTGTACATGCACACTGCATGTTTTATGCATGACGTACTCACCCATAGGAATACATGGGGCTGCAGAGCGCATGTGCCGAATGAGGAGGAGGCAGTCGTGCTCATCATTGGAGGAGAGATCACTGGATCAGAGCTGAAGGTATTGTCTGAGGTGGCCTGCATTCAGTGTGGTGGTGGGGTGGGGGGGTTAAAGGTCAACTCTATTAAAAGCTGTGACTTTAATCACATAAGAATGGGGAAGTTGTTCTTTAATGCGATGGGTACCGGAGGTGAAAGGTTAAATATGCCATTTAACTGAAGAGAAGCTGATTGGTCGCCATGGGAAACTTCTCTAGATTTTGTCTTCTCCAGTTTTGATAAATTCCCCACAATGTGTCTGTGCCATTTATAAAGCCAGTCACTTATAATGCATTCTGATATTTCACCACTGGATGGCAGCAGAGGTCTATCAACATTGCTCTCCATAATCTATTAACAGACAGTAGTAATGTAGAAATGTATTCTTGCCAGTGTATGCATGTGGCAGGGTAAGGACCCAAATAAACCTTCCTCAATCCATCCAAAACTAAGAAAATGCTTTGACTGCAGCTTGACTTTAACCCTCTCACTGCCCAATCATTTTTTTTATTTGCATACACATATACCCACCAATCCATCCAAAACTAAGAAAAAGCTTTGGCTGCAGCTTGACTTTAACCCTTTCACTGCCCAATCATTTTTTATTATTTTGCATACAGATACTAACATGCACATAAAAATCCCAAAGCATTGTATAGCAGAGGTAGGCAGCCTTGGCACTCCAGCTGTGGTAACTACAAATCCCACCATGCCTTTGCCTGTGGCCGTCAGCCTTGCAGTGCCTCGTGGGACTTTTAGTTTCACAACAGCTGGAGTGCTGAGGTCGCTTACCCTTGTTATTAGGAATGCACCAATACTGACACTAGTATCTGTGCCGATACCGAGTGTTTTGGCAAGTATTCATACTCAAATGTTCCGATACTTACCTCCGATACTGGAACTTCCTGTCAGAGGGCGATCTCTCTCTGACCGGCAGTGCCGAAGGAGCATGGAGCCGGCTTCCTTTCCAATCAGTCGTTACATGCCGCCCAGCTTCCTGATTGGGTAGGAAGTCAGCTTCACTTTTTGGTAGGCAGCCTGGCTTCCTAAGCAATCAGGAAGCCGGGCGGCATGTAATGACTCGTCTCCCGAGTTCCTGATTGGAAAGAAAGCCGGCTCCATGCTCCCTAGGCACTGCCGGTCAGAGGGAGATCTTCCGGATTGGTTAGGAAGCTAGGCTGCCTGCCAACAAGTGAAGCTGGCTTCCTAGCCAATCAGGAAGCCGGGCGGCATGTAATGACCCTCCTCCCAGGTTCCTGATTAGTCAGGAAGCCATGCTGCCTAGGAACATGTGAAGCTGGCTTCCTAGCCAATCAGGAAGAGAGTCATGACGTGCTGCCCAGCTTCTGGATTGGTTAGGAAGCCAGGCTGCCTACCAACAAGTGAAGCTGGCTTCCCAGCCAATCAGGAAGCCGGACGGCACGTAATAGCCCTCCTCCTGGCTTCCTGATTGGTCAGGAAGCCAGGCAGCCTCAGCAAGTAAAGTCGGTGTTCTTTCATAGAACACCGGCTTCCCAGGCAATCAGGAAGCCGGGCGATGGGTCAGCCGTGTTCTTGCCACCGCTTTTAAGAGCAGACAATGGCTGTTAATGTACAAGTAATCCGGCTTCTGAACAGGCACCGTATCGTTTGTACCGTGTGGCGGCGCCCCCCAGCTGATCTCTCCTCCGATCACTGGACCCGGAAGTGATGTGCATTACATCACTTCCGATGTCACTCGTTACAGTCTCCGGCTCTTAGAGCAACCATTCGACTTCCTTCTTTCATTTTCAAATCTTCACTGAACAAACTGAAGATAGAAGCTGATTGGTTGCTGTGCACAGCTGCTCCGGATTCTGTCTGCAGTTTTGATAAATTCCCCTCAATGTGTTTATGCCATTTATAAAGTCACAGTCACTTGTAATGCATTCTGGTATTTCACCACTGGATGGCAGCAGAGGTCCATCAACATTGCTCTCCATAACAGACAGTGCTATATATGTATTCTGGCCAGTGTATGCATGTGGCAGGGTAAGAACCCAAATAATCCTTCCTCAATCCATCCAAAACTAAGAAAATGCTTTGACTGCAGCTTGACTTTAACCCTCTCACTGCCCAATCATTTTTTTTATTTGCATACACATATTTGCACATGAAAATGCACCTCCAGGTGTGATAACTACAAATCCCGCCATGCCACCGCCTGTTGCTGTCAGCCTTGCAATGCCTCATGGGACTTTTAGTTTCACAAAAAAACTGGAGTGCTGGAGTTGCCTACCTTTGTTATTAGGGATGCACTGGTGCCAATAAAGAGTATTTGGGTGAGTACTCGTACTTGCACAAATGCTCAGATACTTACCTCCGATACAGAGGGAGATTTCCTCTGACTGGCAGTGCCGAGGGAACATGGAGCCGGCTTCCTTTCCAATCAGGTTACAACCCACCTTCCTAATTGGCTGGGAACAGGCTTCACGTGTTGGTTGGTAGGTAGGCAGGCTGGCTTCCTAACCAATAAGGAAGCTGGGCGGCACGTCATGACCCGCCTCCCCGATTGGTCAGGAAGCCAGGCTGCCTAGGAACATGTGAAGCGGGTGCCGCCCGACTTCCTGATTGGCTAGAAAGCCCACTTCACCTGTTGATAGGCAACGTGGCTTCCTGACCAATCAGAAAGCTGGGAGGCGAGTCATGACATGCTGCCCAGCTTGCTGATTGTTTAGGAAGCCAGGCTGCCTACCAACAAGTGAAGCTGGCTTCCCAGCCAATCAAGAAGCCGGGCAGCACGTAATGACCCTCCTCATGGCTTCCTGATTGGTCAGGAAGCCAGGCAGCCTCGGCAAGTGAAGCCGTTGTTCTTTCATAGAACACCGGCTTCCCAGGCAATCAGGAAGCCGGGCGATAGGTCATGATCTGCCGCCCGACTTCCTGATAATCGGGGCACACGGCACCGGTGCTGGCAAGTACCCCAAAAAGAATATCGGTACTCGATACCGAAAAACCTGTATCGGTGCATCCCTAGTTGTTATGTATTCTCAGGTCAAGTAAGCAGGTACCAAATTTGTCATCTCTCAATACTAAGTGCGTCGCCTACA